AGGAGTACAATTATAGCGTTAATTGTACTCCGTAGGAGTACCGAATTAAGTCGCTATGGCAACACGGCCAAAACAATGTCAAAACAATTATTTTCTATATCATTTTGTACTTAAAAAACATATAAATAAAATTTTAAAGCCGTAAGAACTAATCTTTTTTATGCATTTCAGTTGCGTGATGGACTGAAAATCGGCCGCCAAATAGACAAAGATGAACGGCGTCGTTTCGCATTTTTTTACTGAAATTTTGTTAAGTGAACTATAAACGAGAAAGTCGAGTGCAATTAAAGAACTTTCAAAACATTACGAGTGTCTATTAATTCCAAATTGTACGAGAAGATCGTGCGATTTCCTATATGTATGTGGTATTAGGCTGTGGTATTAGTTTGTGGTATTAGTAGTATTACGTAGTAGTGTTAGTGGTATTAGACGATAAAAATGTCTTCAAAATCAGTAAAAAGTTGAAATTAAACTATCATATATTGTCTATATTCTTCATAGAAGAATTAAACATTAAACTTAAGGATGGTGCCTACTATTGTCTACACCAAGGGATTCCCGCGGGTTTCAAAAGMAAAACACACAAAGGTACAGAAAACATCGGCTTGGGACAAATTTAAGACCAAGAACAACAGCAATAACTATTAATTATGTAGTCAAACATGGATTACTAAGTAATCTTCAAGAATTCAGGTGTTTTTGGCGAAAATTCATATGTTATTACTTTCTAGAAAAAGCAGTTTCGATCGCCTTGGATCGATGAATAATAAAATAACTTTTTCAATATTTCCTTATAGATAAACTAAGTTTGTCTTAAAGTTAAATGAAAATTGAAAAGGAATCACACATTACACCAAATATCAACCATTCATTTCGGTTTTCCGGTTAAACTTTTGTCGTTGGCAGACCTCGTATTATACAAACTGTCTCACTCGCTCAAACATATACAGTCAATTCAAAAAATGTTGTCGTCGACCAACTCAAGCCTACGCGACTGGACCGAAATGAACTCTGGATAGCAATCATTGAAGCCGAATTGACTCCATAATTTTATCTGACTAGATTTGCCTGGTTTACAGCACGAACCTTCGTAGGCGAGCGGAAAGTGTTGAAGGAGACGTTTTTTTTAATGCCTTAATATTTTCGGAATTGTGAACTGAATCATAACTACTTTGTTTTTCTTTCCCTAAACCCGAAGACATGCATTTAATGGATTGTTTCTCGCATTATTATCTTATTACTAGCGGGGATAATTAATTCAGAACGAATATTTAACCGCTTCAGTGATTTTTACCCATATTCCTTTCGGTGCAGTCGCGTAGGTTTGAGCCGGTCGAGGACAACGTTTTTTGAATTGACTGTATTCAAAAACGTTCACGCAAAAGGCATACCGAAAGAAAATTTTTATTTTCATTCATTATATCTGTCTCTTGCACTCCTAGTGAAGTTGAACTGAATGTTAGTTTTTATTTTACGAAAGCTTTTGCCTGGTTCTTGCTTTGCCAGTTCAAGACTGCCGTGAAACATTCATGTAAAGCCTTCCCTTTTCCGACTTTAAAAAATACTTTTAGATACCATTTGTTTAAGGAAATATTTCTTCTACACAGGAAGTAATTATTAATTATTGTTCTTCGAATTAAATAAGTTTTCTGGTACTTTGAAGGCTTGAAATATCGCTTTTTCTTCAGCTTGTAAAACCACGAGGAGAGGGAAGGAGCTAGTGCAAACACGCCAAAAACTGARCTGGTCACGCTGTTTTGTAACGCCGCGTCACGCTTGTCACGCTTTTAGCACCCGATTTATCCTCAAAAAATACTTTAAAAAATCATAACTTTTTAAAACGCGTGGGTAGCCCCATTTTTTTTTTCATCCAAAATATAAGAGAAATATTCAGATATTTTTTATACTAGAATTTCTAAAATAAAAATGGTTTTGGATGCAAATGTAGGCAAAAATGTAGTATCCCTTCAGAACCATATTTTACACTTTTGAGGGAAAAATTTGGTTAAAAAATGGTTTCTCATATGATACAAGAAGGTTATACATTTTATATAAAGAACACAACTAGTTGTTTATTGGAAACAAGTTCCAGATAAAATCTATCAAAACAACTTCGAAATATGATTTTTTCCCCTTTCGTAAAAAAGTGCTTACGTCATCGGTGTTTAACATCAATTATCTCGCTTAGATGCGTGGGTACCCCCAATTTTTTTTACCGGATTCCAGTGGCCTCTTGGGTGGTTTAAATGACTGGCACAATTTGGAAAAAATAAAAATGGTTCGCAATTAGTAGGCACCATCCTTAACAACTGATGTAAAAGAACATCGAAAAAGGTCAAATCTGGATGGTTTTTAGTATACGAACAAGCTAGAAGCAGCAAAGACGCCAAGGAAGGAAACAGCGACAACAAAGCGATGAAAATAGCGAAGAACCTACAGTGACGAATGAGAAAAAAGCCTTTATCGTAGCGTTTTCGATAGTAAATAGAGTTTAAGTTCAAGTGATTAAGATGATGAACAAGACGAGTATTTTGTTTCACACACGAATCAGAACAAACTATTTGCAACGAAATTTATTGAAGAAAAATTACTGTTATTAGGAGGCTCTGGGCAGTTTGGGTCTGGCACACCTAGCCGCTAAAAAAACGGCTACAACTTCGTCTTTAATAACTCGATCTGCAACCGCTTTTCACACAATTTCAGGAAAGGATTAAAGGCTTCAAAAATGATAAATTAGGTTAAAGCGGCCTTTTCATTGTGACGTAATGATGACATCATAGAAATCGTTTACCGCTTATTTTCTCGAAAACTAGACCTAAACTTTCAAAGCGACTTCCACCAGTCGATAGTATTCATCAAGGCACCCAACATATTGTAATATGAAAAAAAAAATGTATGAGAGCGTTTTCCAAATATTACGCGATGAATATTTTCATGGACTTTTACTATTATTTGCAGCGTGTCAACTTTATACCCTCAAAATCGGGACTTTAATTTAGTGGATTCAATATTTTTAGTAGCTAGAATATAGGTACGGATATAGACACTGTCCTTATTGAGTATGAATCAAATTGTGACTTTCTTTCTAACGTTATGGATTTTTTGATATGAAGCTAAATGACCCCATTTGTTGTCAAAAGCGATWGAAARTATCGWTRAAAGCGGCATTCAAAAAATCGTCGAACAATTTTTTTCTAAATGAAGTCACTAAAAGATGTATCTTTTACAAATATTTTCCTTTAATTTCATATGCATTGAAGGGTTTTAAGGCAGTCAAACAAAAATAAGTACGCTCACAACTAACAGCACACGACCGAGGAATAACACGGAAGTCAAGCGTGAATAATCAACAAGCAGCCGTGAGCGAAAATAGTTACGAGCAGCTTGACTGTTTTAAGCTATAGTAAAAACCTCTTCTTTTTACTGGTAAACAACTGATTCCAACAGTAAATGCTAAGTTTCTCTCAAGCTTAAAGTTTTTGAACTTTTGTCTCAGTGAATTCAACAAGTTTGTTCATCGAAAATCCTCTTTCGTAAACGAGTCCAATGTACCTTCATTTTAGATGTCCATTAGATAACTTGTAATTTTGAAAAGATTGAAGTTCAAGTCATAAGTACGTGTTCTTGGAATACAGCAATGATTTGCTGTATTTCAGTTTAGGTGGAGAATTTTGGACAAATTACAGTCTCATCTACAACTGCAATCAACTCCAAAATGAATGAGTCTCAATCGAGCGACCATTGTTTTGATTTAAAAACAAGCTTGAATGATGTTGTCTCAGATGAGAATTTTTTACATGTGCTGTTTCTGGATTCCTTCAAATGCTTTTCGAAATTTCTCAAGGAATTCCTCTAACACATTTTGTAGTAAAATTAAATAAAGTTTTGTTTGTCGACGGCTTCATGAAGCTTGCTTGTCACTGCCGATGTCTTGTGTACCCATGACGTCACTGCAATCTGCCCAATCAGAAATCGCATGCTAAAATAGCTCAGGCTTGCGCACGGAGCTAAAAGTAGATTTTCAAGAAACTTTCATGGGGCACAGGGATGTGCTATCTTACTTCATATTCTCTTGATGTTGTTATAACACAATGTTGACATTGAAATGTGCCTATGGTTGCACAGCGTCATGATCATAATCACTATCACCATGATCACCACCACCACTACCATCATCACCATCATCATCATTATCATCATCATAGTATCACCAGTACTATCTTCGTCGTTTTCTTCTCCATCATTATTACGAGTATTACAATTTTTCTCCTGAGCTGGTTAATAAATCCTCTTTTCTTTTCTTTTCTTCTTTGTTTTTAAGCTACAGCACAGTTTGAGGAAGAATATAGAGAAATAGAAGAAAATGATGAAAATAAAGTGATCGAACTTGGTTGTGTGATTGAACCACAATCACAGATTCCTTTAAGGATTGGGTAAGAAAATGAACTGGTATTAAAGATTTTATAACTTATACATACTTTATATTAGTATAGGTAATCATACGGTTTTGAGTTCAATTTGGGATTAATTTCGCACAAGAGAATTAAAACACACGAGTGCGAATTACCCCAAATTGAACGAGAAATAGTATGATTACCTAGTAATAAAATATATGAAAAATATTACAAAATCAAGAGACAAAATGTAAAATATTCAAAGCATTATATCTTATGAAATTCCGTTCGTTCACAACCAACTATATTTAAAATGATTTTGGTTTCAAATAGATGAAATCCGAAGAGTTTTTATCTATTTAAAAACCAAAATGTGAATCACTATCATGAAGACATTTGGATTGGCTGGCTTTGCAAATTTCGAGCTACTAGAGTTGTATTGAACAAATTCTACCTGACAGTTGTTGAACGTGTTCAGGAAACTTTATAGCTCAGTCTTGGGATCTCCTAGACCATAATATAGACCATAATATTGACCAAGATATTGACCAAAATACTTACCGCATCGTGTTTAGTAGTCTTGCTCATAGTCTTTTTCGTTTCTGTTTTTGGTTTTACTGAAGAAATAGAAAACGCGCGCGCGTGATGTGTGCCGTTATAAAGCACGCGGGGGTTGGCAGAACACGAGATAAGTGTTAGGAGAAGCACGACGCGTAGCGGAGTCTATGTTTACTGTAAAGTAGTACTGTAGTACTGTAGAACTGCAATATATACGATGTATATGATGGCTTTATGTTGATGGCTATATGTTGATGATTACGACAAAGTACTAGTACTAATAGTAGTACTAATACTAATACATACTAGTACATAGTCCTAATACATACGATGTATCAGATTTCAAGATTACTACCTAACAGAGGCTTGAACAGATATCTGAGTTTACATGTCTTTTTTCCACAGTTTTGAGATAGATGGCTTTTCTTCAACTGCGGTGGATTCAGACTTCATCATTTACAACAAAAGTCTAACGTTCCCTCCTGAGGAGAATAGGGTGTCACTTAAAATCAAGATTATTCATGACYGTGTAGCAGAAAGTCCTGAAATACTGGTACTGCGTATGATAAGCCTAAACGAGAGCCTGGTGATAATCGGGAAAAATAAAACRGCCAAAGTCAAAATCATCGACAAGTTTGATAACGGTAATGACCCTCTGTCCCTAATGAACTTTGGGTTGCCTTGTTATGACGTTATTCCAATGTTTTGATAAGCAAAATGTCATAAAAATTAATGTCTGTAATCTCCGTGTATGTATAAACGAAGTCGTCCACCCTCCTTTTTTATTTCATTTTTTGAAAATACTTCGTAATACCTAACTTTAGTGGAAAAAATTTWAAAATCTGACTATGGGATCAAATCGAAACAAGACAAAATTGACTCAGCACTTACATTTAGAAAATTTTTAATTTACTCGCCGAAATAAGACGAGCKTTTCTACAAATTCCTTTACTTACTTTATTTTGGACGTTAAAGCTCCGAAATTAGCTTCTGGTTTGACCGATTTGATATCAATCAAGCCGTGGAACTTAACGCAAATAAACAGTGTTGCGTTATGCATGTCACACTACTTAATTTTATCTTAGCTTGCCACGACCCGACAATAAGAAATTGCCCAAACTTGCCCGCGATAAATGAACCCGATGGAAGAGGTTATGTCAGTATTTCACTCATAAAACATTCAYTTGCTCACTCAAATAAGCCAACTTTTTCTACGAATTTCCTTAGAAATATCATTCAGCTTGTCTCTATTCCCCATTCCGAAATTCAAAGGAAGACTGGTGCCGAATCCACGCCGCTTGGAATTCTGGGGCGGAATTTAGGGACGCAAGATGGCAGCTTGCTAAGAKAAAGTATGGGGAAATACAACTGTTGCGTTCCAAATTGTACAAATAACTGGAGAAATTCTCCTGGGTTGAAGTTCCATGCACTTCCGGGAGATCCTAAGGTTCCTAGGGAATACAAACGGCTGATAAGAAACGATAATCTCAGAGTATCCTCGACGAGCACAAAGAATTGTTGTAAACACTTTCCAGGAGGAGAGAGATGTAGTCGTACTCAGTTGCCATCGATATTCACCTGGTCAAAGGCTATACATAAACGACGTGAAATTGTCAAAAATGAAGTACCAAAGAAAAGTAACACACCAGGGAGTTCCACTTCAACAGTTATAGAATCGACAGTGACTTCCATAAACATGGACGATCAACATATCTTCGAAGAAAGAAAGTGTTTACCACATATCTTTGTGCTCGTCGAGGATACTCTGAGATTATCGTTTCTTATCAGCCGTTTGTATTCCCTAAGAACCTTAGGACCTCCCG